AGAAACAGCGCGAAGCCGCGGGCCGATCCTTGAGGGACGTGCATTTTGCCAGGCGCTTGTTGATCTCGACCTTGCTGAAGACACTTGGGTTCCCCATCACAAACAGCCTAAACCCTAGCTCTAGTTGAGTAGTGCGGGAAGACCGAACTTCAAGGCCTCAAGGCACAGATCCAAGAAATCTGTAACGATCAGGTTCCGGATGAGTGGCGATCATGCGGCTGTAGCAGGTGCCGTTGCAAGTGCTGGCAGATATTCTTTTACGTGCGCCATGCCATCCTATGCTACTGGTGACGAAGATACTGACGGTCACAAAAGTCGTGGTGACGGTGAGAGCGGCAGCGGCGGCGCTGTTGGTACTGACTCTGGAGCCAGTGATGGTGCAGCTTCTGCGGGCGATGTTGATGCTAGTCTGCTGGTCATCGTGACAATGGCGACGACCGGCTAGTCATCAAGATGATATCCAACCTTACATTATTACATACATTCTACACATCTGACAACTCAGTGGCGCAAAATCATCAGCAGCAGCATTACCATCATCTCATAAAGGCGTTAATCGTCGGTACCACTATCTCTGTACTCGTGTGCATCACCATGGTAGTACCTTTAACCTTTGTTAACACCATCATCATCATCGTCACCTTATCGTCACCATCGCTACTGCTTTTCGGATTTTCAGGTGCAAGGAATCTGTCGACAAGGTGCATGGCGCGAAGCGGCGCCTCCGAGCCAAGAGCTCATGCTCCCTGGCGTCACAGCGCTCACAGGTCTTTCGCATGGGGCTGTGGGTAGGCTTCGTATAGACGGATGAGACCCTACATGTCACGCCCATGCGATAGCTACAACATAGCTCTATCTCTGAGGAACATTTATCTTTCTGTCCGTGTACATATGTATGTATACATACATATATATATATATGATATATGATATATAAGATATATAAGTAATATAAAAGATATATAACATATGTATATAGGGAGATACCCACTTAAAATTATAACATTCATATGTACTTGTATATATAAATATCTATGTACATGATGTCCACGGCACGTGTATGTATATCTGTGCATGTAACGGCATGTATATATACTTCTGGGCGGACGGATGGATTTTTGGATAGATGGATGCTTAGGATTACTTTGCGGAAAGAGCTGCCCTCGCTTGCAGCTCCAGACAGAGCCTTGCGGGCTACGCGCACGCATGTGTCATGCCAAGGGCACAGGAGGCACGGATGCTAAGAGGAACAAAATGACATCACTTCGAGCGGTATGATTCCATGCTACAGCTACTTCGCTTGGTAAATGTGTCTTGCATATTCTGCTAGACAAGACTTACGCTTGTAATTCATCGAAATCGAAAGCTACCAGGTTACCACTTCGGTCGCACCAAGCCATCCTGACTTGCCACGTCTCTTTTTGTTGCCATGAATGCTGAGTTGACCGAATACTACGGGTGCACAAAGCCTATTGCTGAGCGCAAGCGTGCGTGTGTCCTGCCGGTCTTGTACCTTCGTTCAGTGATCAGTCAAGACCGAGAGTACTCCATGATTCATTTCCAGCAGTTACTAACTAATGACTGCCACGCACTCCGCCGCGTGCTGCAGTCTTCTAAAGATCCAAACTATGTCGTCCATGCCCTTCAGGAGATCGCAGGGAGGATGGCCGGTTGTTCCTTCGCCGTCTCAAAACTTTTGGTCAGCGGTCTGGGCATTCACAATTATCCAAGCAAAACATGCGAGACACACATGAAATGACGACAAAACCTTTACGGCAACCTTACCAAACCTTCGCAGGACTCTCGCGAACTCTTGGTCACATCTTTCGCAGCGTGCTGTTACTCATTATCCGCCGTCTGCCGCTTCTCAAGTTGCGCATGAGCTGGGAATGAAGCTGTACAGGCACAAGCGCAGTCTGCTGAGAGGTAGACTCGTCTAGTCTCTGGCAAACTTCGCATGTCGTCCTCGCTCCACATCATTCGTCGGTAGTCCTGGTCATCGAGCTTGCCGTTGTTGATCTGGGCGCATTTGCAAGGCAATCGATCTGTTGCTTACGACGGCTCAGAACTGCTCTTGTTGCGCAGCTCCTGTACCAAACGTCAAAACAAATCCGTGATTGACATTGTCGCCTAGGATAGAAACTCATCCAAGCGTGAAGAGGTAGACCATCTATGAACCGTGCCGGCACCAAATCGGCACAAGCCGAGGGCACGGCGCAAGCAGCGAAAAGCTCACAGCTGGATCCGCCGCGGGAATGGCCGAGGCACATCACATTCCTGTCACAGTGTCTGGTTTAACTGGGTCCTAGAAAATTCCGAAAATCTCCGCAACCCGCAACTCGAAACCCTAACCCCGCATAGGTGATTCTCACTGGGATGTTTGGCTCCTGGTCCCATGCAAGGATGCTCATCCTTTTGCAGGACTAATAACCTGGCTAAACCTCGACTTTCTTCGCTGTAACGCAAAAGGTAGCCTGCACTTTGGCAGCAGCTTCGAAATTCTTCGCCAACTCGGCGTCTGGACCTCGGGGAACGACTCTGTGGTCTTCAGGTTCGAACCTTGCTGCTATTGCTTTCAGGGTTGCTTGATTTTGGCCCTCTCGTATGGCAGAGAACAAAGCTCACAGCGAGGTTAGACAGACTCGAACACCTAGCCCCAAATCCTTTCACAGCAAGACTAGTCCCTAAGGGAACATAACTAGCGTCAAGTAGGGCCGATTCTTGACAGAGCTAAGGGTTCCTATTTGCTACACGAGCTACTTTAAGGGTACATGCTTCTGCTTGCTTCGCCAGGGCTGTGCGACCTTCAAACCCACACTGACACCGAGTGGCGCTTTCCACAAGGTAGTTGCGGTAGCCGTGATGGACGTTGGTCATCCCTGGCCAAAAAATGCCACAACTTGGAGATGTGGCCACAGCAGCTTGGATGGTGTGAGTCTATAGTAACGTGGGTCAATAAGCTGCCTGCACGGTCTAAACGGTTTTGCAGGAATTGTACACCAGAGTTCAAAAGTTAACATAACACTAAGCTACTAGGCACTAGGTGCTGATGAAAGCGAGGCCACCTCGACAAAGAGTAACCCTGCTTATACATTCTGTTTAATACTATTAGCTTTTAATATATGTAATGCGTGTACATACATATACATATTGTATATATGTATATATGTATATATGTATGTAAACTAATATATATATATATGTGTGTGTATATGTCTATATGTATGTATATCTGTCTGTCTGTCTGTCTGTCTGTCTGTATGTATGTATGTATGTATGTATGTATGTATTGCATCTCTCTTTCTGTCTCAGTTGTCGGTTTCCTCCTGCAGTGCTTGGTGGAATCCGCTAGGCAGGGCACGTGTTTGAAATCGGGGCTATAACTTTGTTGATGCCGGGCCCCGCCAATCTTCAACGGCGGGGACCAGGAAACCCTAAACCCTCAACCCTATGATTTGGCACGCGTTTTAAACCTCCGAATGCCAGGAGGCTGCTTCAAACCCTGAACCCTCGTTGAGTCCTTCTGGGGCACAGGCCACAAAACTCGGTACCATACGTCTTCTTCCTGTCTGCCTAAGCGAGGCGGGTGGGATCCCAAGGTTTTGTCTTCTAAACAGCCTCCCAAATACCATGAGCGTTATTGTTGCTACTGCCAGTAATTATTGGTACGTAATACTATAGGAGCAACCCTTCTTTGGGGACCCCCTGTCGATTAGAGCTTCCTTTCTGCCTGCCTCTTGCGCCTTCAAAGCAAGTCGCCACAGAACCCACAGCCATGCCAGTCCTCCAAGCAAGCCTCCAAACCCCCAATCATCCACAGGTTGATAGCCAAGGGCTTATAAGAACCCGATTCCACAAAACACAATCTGTGCGGCGTTTCACCCCCTCAGACCCCGACCCAGTTGCCGGGCATTACCAAGGCGCAGTCTAGCGTCTCCGCATCCTTTCAAGCTTTGCTCGTTCAGGGCTTAGGGTACAGGGTGCGGCGCGGGCAAAGCCGATTCGATCCTGGAGTGTGGCTTGCTCCCGCAGTCTAAGGATAACCTTGGGCTGCAAGGGCAGACTCTGTCCCTTTCGATCCGGGCCTGTGCCAGGAGAGCCGGCTCTTCCGGATCCTTCCAAATGGGAAAAGCGGTTTGTTGGCAGCCTCCGCCTCATTATCGCTGTCAGCAACATCACCATCACAAAACACTTCAACCACAATGGATAGCACGCGTGTGTGCCTTCGGGGTCATCGGTGCGCTGGCAGAAGGTGCCGTGCCTAAATAACAGACGTTCGTTCGAGAGACCTGCGTAGAGTACCTCTGACCCTCTTACTTAAAAATGGTTGTGGTGACAGTTGTGACGGTGGTTTGCGATGACGATGCCCTGCAACGAATTCACCGAGCACCTCTACGTCCACACGGCAGAGCTGTCCTTGAGAGGCTCGCGCGCCACGAGATTCCATCCAGGCATATATTGCCTCGGCGTCATGCGAGACGGTCGAAGTGGTAGCTCAAAATCGGGTTGCTACTACGAAAATCATACGAGTGCCAAGACATGTGCCTAGGATGCTGTGGGGAACGAACTGTGCATACTGCACATCGCTGCGTGGGAAGCAGGCCAGAGAAGGAACTATACTGGCATGAAAGTTCCACGAGTTCCACGACCTATGTTACGCACTTGTGCGATCCCCTGCGACCCAGACAATTTAAGGACTCTACAGCTCTGCATTTCGTAATTACAACTATCTAGAAGACATACTGTTGGTCATGGTTCCTGCTTCATCAAGCCAGACCCGCCAAATGCCAAGCAGATCCACTCAAACTGTAGCTAGCCCTTGTCAGGCCGTTCCAACTTGTGCTCCTGTTCTGTACTGTAGGTCTGCGCTGCCGATGCGATGGATAGATGACGGGCGATCGCGGCGATATGCTGCGATCAGGTCTGCGACCCCTCCTTAATACCAGCTGCGGCAGTAAACGGTCAACCCTGAGGACTTGACAAGAACACGGCAGATGGTCCTACCCGTACGAAAAAGTGAGAGTAAAGCGACGAGGCCGGTGTCGGGAGCGGGAAATCTGTAGCGTCCCGAAACCGGCCCTATGGTTTAGGGGCAATGTCACCCTGCAGCCAGGCTCGGCCCTGAAAAGAGTCTGCGCAGCATGAAGCAATCTTACAACCTGCCTGCCTTTGCTCTCTGTCTTGTCAGGTGGCTTCAGAATTGCCAGAACTTCTTCTTTGGTGAGCTCGGCGCTCCATGCAAAGTTCACGAACTTCTTGGCCTAGTCAGAAACCAAACGGCATCAACACACCAACACGTATGTATGTATGATATGAAGGCTACAGGTACTATAGATACATATGTACATATGTACATATGCACGGTGGGGGGTCGTTTTCCGTATGTGTGGCTAAACTATTGCGATTTCACATGCCGTACAAGTATGTGCCGTGCAGATGTGAGTAACCGTAGTCGCTCGGCTGGAAAGGTGGCGGTGCTGTCTCAAGGCTAGCGGCTAGCGGCTACCCATAACAAGCTAGCTTCTACTTGGGGCGACTATGGGAACCGAAGGAGCAGTCACTGTCCAAAACAGGACACCAGACCAGACGCAAACCCCCACCACTGCAACTACCCGCACTCACTACCAATCCGACAAGTGCCACCATCACAACCACAACTACCAGCTACAAGCAGCTGAACCAGCAGTGAGCGTGCCAGTGCCAGCAGCAGCAACCGCCGCATCACAACGACTATGACTACCACAAGCACGAATTACGTGACGGCCCATCACCATCACCATAACAGCGTTGTAAAAACTATCACTCTGGACCGGCAGCACCACAATACCATAAGCATGATGCACATGCCGGTGAGGAAGTTCACACTGGAAGACGAGCAGGATTCACGAAATCACAACATGAGGAGTGTCTCGGACTAGTGTTCCAACGTTTCCCGGCCTCAGCGTACAGCTCGTTGTTCGGGGCTTTCCTGGCCCAGCTTGGCATACTTTACAAGCCAAGCACAGACTGCAGAAGGGGCGACCCGACGAGCTGCTCCAAGCGGTCCCAGTAAACCTTCGCCTGAGAGCCACAAACAAAGCCAGCGAGAGTGCGAGGTTGTCCAACTGGGACTGTGCGACAAGAACTGATGCTCTGCGGCGAGTGCAGGCGTGCCTACTCCGACGACACGTGGTTCCTTTATGCCCTGAGCCGCCCGCAGAATGTTGGTACCAGTCCTGCAACGTCTCGCAGCAAAGCTCGGCTCATGACAGCAGAAGAAGGAAATGTGCTCGCTGGTGATACTATGATGCTTTGTCTCGAATATCAAGTGCTCTTAAGGCTCTTATGGTCGCTATGCAGCTTGCCCAGCTGCAGGCTAAACCCGCGATATCCACCCTAATAGAAAGGAACTGAGCATTAAGTATGCAGATCCTCGTAAGCGAGTCCGTTGTGATGTGGCCACCACACACCTCAGATGTTGTGCTTCAGCACATGCCACTAAGACTGAGCACTGCTGAGCATGTCAAAAGCTACACCGCGGACTGTTTGCACCGCCTGAAACACAAGCATCCTAGCTGCTGGGTTCATACAACAACATGATGAAACTCATATCACAAGATTCAACTATAACACTTTGGATGTTATACCCAAGACCTCTACATCCGAGGCTGAAACTGAGCCGGCTACTGTCTGCATCCTTGGTGACACAGTTGTCGAAATGCGAATCCTGATTCCACTGAAGGGACCTCGACCAACACTTCGAGGTTCACACTCGAGAGCTTAAGGGATTTAGGGGCAATCCTGGCAGCGAGCCAAGGGTCTCCATGCTCAAAAGTTCAATATGAGTTCGTTGCTTGCGAGGCTCCAGGGCTTCGGCGCCGGCGTGCTCCGTTAGCCGGGGGGGTACAGCAGGATCCGTGGATCAGCTAACATCTTGGAGTAGCTGCAAGGACAGCGACATGGCAGCTTTCCGGCTATCCATCCGAACTGTTCATGCAACCATTGAGGCTCTCGCAGGACATTCATCTTCGGGTGAGGGAAGTAGTTGTTGCTGAAGGTGCGCGCATCGATCTGCGTCAGACGGTCGAGGGCGCTCCCAGTGCAATTCAAAAAAAAATAACCCGGAGAAGCCCAGGCAACAACAAAAAGTAACAACACCCCATGTGACTGCTCAAAGCCCGTAATCCTCCGAAGCCGATGGTAAGGACCATCAAGAAAGCCCTTCCCTACCGAGTCGTCGCTGCGCACTGCGCCTGCTTGCCACCGCCTCGGAGATCGTTTTCAGAGTAGACCTCGGATCGGAGAGCCGGGTGGGGTTCAGGGTTTAGGGTTGGATACCTCTGAATTAGGGAAAAGCCCTTAAACCATCACCGGCAACTGTCCTTCATTGAGCAGTACACCTTTAAAGCATAGCAGGGACTTGCTGGCCATTGCTTTGTCAAGACTTTTGAGAGGAACCCTTATGAGTCTTGGAGGGTTGATTCGAAAAGACAAGATTCTACACTAGTGGGGCGCTGTCATGCTACACCCAAGCTTCACTGAAACCTCTCTGCTAGGAAGCTCAGGTTGCACATCTCAGGGTATCAGAACGAGGCATCAGGCAAGAACAGGTCCAATCACGACTTCCACAGCCTGAACTCATGCCTTCCTGCACACACCGTTCACCCAAAGGGCCCAAGTAAGAGTGTAGTTTATACTTTGGGGGCCCAAATGTCTACTAAGTAGTTACAAAATAGTGTACTTGGACCCTTTGGGTCAATAAGCTCGTACCTGCAAATATAGACCAACAAGATCCCAGCAGCATCATCATCAGCACCACCCAGACCATTGCATTCCCACCACCGCAGCCGGCTAGCCACCGCCGCCACCACCACCGACTGCCAGAACCAGCACTACCAGCAGCAGCAAAGCAGCATTAGCAGAACTAGCAGCAACCTCAGACACATGCATGAATCCATCCAGACATACAGAATTGCAGACATGCAGGCATACACAGACATGTGTTTACATTCTCACACGTGCTATGTTAGCCTGTCGGCGCATACACCAATGGTCTATTGGAGCCATCTACTCCAAATCGAGAGCCAGAAGTGGAATCCTCTCCCTGACTCGCTGGACTCTTGTGGGGAAGTTGAACAGAAGTCGCGCTAGCACGCTGTGTCTTCTCCCGGGAAGCGCTTCGAGCAGCAAGGAGTACTTCTGCCAAAGAGCGCGGAGACCCTTGAAGCAGCCGTTGGCAGTCTTGGAATCCTGAAGCACCAAATTCTACTTCAGATTCCGCTACAGATGATGACTACATAGTCTGAGTAGTCCTAGAAGTAGTACAGTATCAAGTATTCCTTTTAAAGCTCACTTCGACCTCAGACTCTGGCCGTAGCACAGAAACCTGTGTCCTGGACAAGGGTTTTCCAAATCTAGAAAACAGAAAACGATGCCGACCGCAAATTCTGCTACGCGTGTCTGGGAACTACTACGGTCTCTCACATATTGCGCACAAAGTATGCTGGAGTGCCTTGTATAGGGTTTGTTTTCTTAGTTGCCATGCGCCTTCAACGGAGGATCCGCCACGGCCGGCGTACCATAGGTGTACCTGGCATGTTGCGCGCACAATCGTGCCAAGAGGATCCCGTCCCAGTTCCTTCGTGGGACACCTCGACCCAAGCTTCCAGCTCAGTTCCACTAATTACACGTACAATCAAATGCATGTATTGACTCGGATGGTGCTGCAAACCAGGACAAGCAACTTAACCTTCCGACTCATGTCCCTATGTTTCCGGATCTCGGTCATTCCATTCCATAATACCATACATCCACCATGCTCCCCGATTTCTATCCTTCTTTCGAGCAGAAACCCCGTTTAACCCCGTGACGCCAGGCGCACAAAGCATGGATCATTCCGAGGCCGCCTGGACCGTTGCCCAATGCCTCAGCTTTCAAAATCGCCGGAGCCTTTGAGTTTCAAGGTTAAACACATGCAAGTACGGTTACCATCAAATGAGCTTCGCTCAGGGCTGTCTGCCGCAAATCTTGCACCCGCCCGGGCGTCAAAGCCAAAAAGACTGCAAGAGCGAAACCCTCTCCCGACTCAAAACCTACCTGAACCGGAAACAGCCTGCATGTTTGGGATTCTGCATTATGATTTCCGTACGTGCAGCAAGTTACATAAAAAGGTATGCAAGTAGGTTTGTTGGTTGGGGTCAACACACCCTAAAAGCCCGACCATAAATGTCGGTGCCATGCTGCTGCCGCCTCTTCCGCACTGCCGATCTCGGGCATGAGCTCTGGCGCTCCTGTCTCGCCAGTCTAGTAGCTGCAAAAAAAGTAGCAATAGCTCTAATGATGCAGACGATACTTTCAAGTATACTTTCATGATGGCATTTATGCCTCCATTTGAGTTAGGCTTTGGGGTGTATTTGGCTTAGAGTGCCGTGAACTGCGTAAGCTAACATGAATTGCAACACGACGTCCTTTGTACCACATGAGCTTCTTATAGTCCTCAGTCGGTACGACGTCTAGACTCTATAAAAGCTTTTGGCATGGTGAAGAAACGTCAATCGAGAGCTGACAGGAATGAATTCCACAGAGGGCCGGTGGGTCAAGCCGCCACGGCCACGCTTCAATGCTTGAGGCGTTTGAGCTTTAGACTTTGACTTTTAAATTTTGCAGAACAGCTACTGCATCAGCGGCATGACCACTGTTGATGCAACCGGAGAAAACGTCACCTGGGTTTCAGGGCAGCTTGCAAGTGACATGAGGTCAGGCCATCGATGTTAAGAAATTGCGTGCAGTCGCCACTTGTTTGAACTATCATGAGACGATTGTGCGAACAGCTCAGGTATTGAAAGGCTTCGCCGCGCCGGAGCTGGGAAGCAGGGGGGTGGAGGAACTCTAGCGCACTCTTATTTCGGAATTGCCAGCCAGCTGCACATGGCGCCGCCCAGCGAATGGCCAACACATATCAAGCCTCAAGCAAATGCCATGGTACAGCAGAAAGTGCGTTTTTTCAATCAAGACGGTCTGCGTGCAGAAGCAGTTTGCCCGCATGTGCGCAGACATGGCCAAAGGCGAAGGCAAGGCACGATTGCACTTGGCCAATTTTGCGGTGATCTTCGGCCATATCGCATGGTCGGACAGTTGCCAGATTTCATCGCGGTAGCCTGCATGGACCTGTGCACGCAGGCAAAGTCCGAACATCGCATATAATGGTATGTCATACTTCAGTGTTTGTATGTCATTGAGTTCAACTGAGGGGTCAATACTTGGATGAAACACCACCAAAACCAACTACGATGCACTCATCACAGAGTAATCTTCAACTCGTCTTAATCCTAGGACCCTTGGGAGCTCCGACTCATCGGGTTTTCGGAATGGGGCTTCCGACTTGAAACCCCGAAGCTGCTGGATCATGATGTATATCTGAGACTTGCCTAAACTTTTTTAAAGCTGTGAGCCCAATGACTGGCAGTGGCCGACCACTGAGTTGTTTAAGCCCACACAGGCTCAAGTTCCCTGGCGAGCCTGGTCGAAGCCACAGTAGCCCGTCAGGTGCTGCCTTCAAGCTTCATTCAATGGGCTCCGAACCTTGGGGTTTCGATAGGAACCTTTACATTCTCGACTCTGCTGCTCGGGCAAACAGACGAGGCAGTGCAGCGAACAATCTCGAATCAATGCTATGCCCGGGAACTTGCTAACGTTAACGGTCCCAAACGTCAATCGTTTGCCGAAGGTGGAACTAAGCATCTCTTTTGCACAAGCTTGTGGAAGCGTGCAGGGCAAGGAAAGCCCTCTTCAAGCGCCTACAGATCCAAAAACGTAGCCAAACCCGAGAAGCATGAACCCTAAAACCCACAAAACTTAGTAATTCGTAAGCAATAATTGACCTGAATCCCTGAGCCCGACCGCCGAAAGAAGCATTGGAGCTGGAAGTCTTATGGCACCTCTTGCAGAAGCCCCCCCGGTTGAGTCCCGCACTTTACGGACGAGCCCAGCTCGCCGAAGGTGTTCGTCCCGGTGAAGATGAGGGCACAGTCGAGATTCTTACCTGCGAGGCGTGCGTACATACCAACAGACAGACAGACAAACAAACAGGCAAACCATGTGTACTCAAGCACTGAAGATGTCGGCGTGATTTCGAAAAAAAATCTCGGATTCAGAACTCAGACTTGTCTTAGCCGCGGGAGGAAACCATCTCGGGATCGCCTTCCTGGACTTAGGCACGAGCACCAGAATAGCATGTCGAGGTGCTGTTTTGGGCGATGAGGATTGGGTCGTCATCGTAGGAGCCACTCGTCCACCTTGAAAGAAATCGGCGGAACAACAACGCCTGCTCAAGGTACTGAACTGTCTTAATTCTGAAAACAAAAGCGCATGCACAGACTCGCGCACAGGGGCATTCGTGCGCATATACGTTTGAAGACCCACACACGCGTGACAATGCAGAAGTTCTGCTCGCCATATTTGCATTTTCCGCTGCTTTGGAGCTTCGGGTAGCAGGTGAAACGTGGCATTCACGTGGTCCGAGAAAGCCACACCCGTATTGCAGACCCATAACAATCCTCTCTCTGTCTCTCTCTGTACACACACACGAACATGTAGAGGAACAACTGTATATTACGAACGGCATAAACTATCTATATATATATATATACATATGTGTGTATGCTTGTGTGTGTGCGCAGCATCAAATAAAAATGCATGTGTATGTATACGTATACATACACACACACACACGCACCTACATGTATAGGTGTGTGTATATATATATAATATCTATCTATCTATCTATCTATCTACCTACCTACCTACCTACCTACCTACCTACCTACCTACCTAATCTATCTATATGTATGTTTGTATGTATGTATGTATGTATGTATGTATGTACGTATGTACGCATGCATGTATGTATGTATGTATGTATGTATGTATGTATGTATATTTGTTTATGTGCGGGTGCGTGTATATGTGTATATATATATATATACACATACCGATAGGTGCAACCATAAGCAAGTTTGATTGTGAATACGGTTTATATGCATATATGTGATACGTATGTAAGAACACACACACACACAGACCGAGACAAACACAACTCACATCCCAGACCGAGATGTGCGAAAGGCAGTGAAACATCCAACTGTGCAAGCAAGCCGCTCGAACACATGCCGATCGACCAGGCGCCACTCTGGCAGCTTCTCGGCAAGCTCCTCGAAATGACAACGACACAGAGTTCGCGGCTGAAAGATTTAGGGTTAAGGCTTCTATAGTTTATAGGGTACACTGACAGCAGGGCGAAGCTTGAATTTCGGAACAAAGCTGCTAGTACAAAATGTCAGCTTCAGGAAGAAGAGTGACAAGGCTGTTCTCCAGCAACTCTATATCTATATACAGCCACCGGTCTCCGATATGCAAATTACGGAGCACGCCTGTCTCTTTTCGAAATCTTTGTTCTGCGCTGCACTCGCAAGTGCATGCCTTGCGGCTCTTCCTTCGTGATTGGGTCTCCAGGGTAGTGTGAAGAACTCCATCTGGCATAGGCGGACGGGCAGATCTTTATGTGAACGATTTTCTCGCACAGGTATGATTCAGGGGCGCCCGTGTGCCTGGCTGGCAGGAGTCCGAAGCTGATCCCCAGAGCAGCTTCTTGTGAGCTTCCCAAAACCAGGATCCACACAGTTCGACCAAGCAGCCCTTGGCCCTTGAGGGCTCAAAAAGGGCTGAAATTCATGTCTGTGATGTCGGAGGGCTGGAAGATCCTGGATTGGGAAATCCCATTTTTCAGAGGTGCTGCATCCCATGGCCACTTGCAAACATGCAGTCTGGGCGAGAAGTGCCTGCGTGTCCCACTCTTGCCTGGACAGCCTTGCCCAAACCCATTATCAACCCTAACCACAAACCTTGAACCTATAAACAGGCCAGAGATGGCCCTTTATTTATGGGGGACTGTGAGGGCTCCTAGGTCCTATAGATAGAAGATGCGCGGCATCGACCGCCCTTCGCCCAAACGTCCGCACGAAGCTGTGAAAAGAGGGCATCAAAACTGGCCGTGGTGTCCACCCTTTAACCTCAAACATTTCCACCCCAATTATGTTTTGGAGCTTGAATACTAAGAGATACCAAAGCATCCCTGAGTCGGATATAGGGGTCCTGTATGCAGGTGGACAGAGTTTGTGGCACCACGGAAACAAGTACGGGGGTGACAGAAACAGGGTCGCAAGGCGTGCTCGACTTCAAAAGATCTCACAGCGACCTTGGGGCAAACAGCCCTTCCTGGCTTTCCATTCTCGGATGCCAAACGAGGCATTCCTCCATCTGCAACTTTCACGGGCAACACGGTGCACCTCCGAACTGTTCTACAGTTGATGAGAAAATAGCCGGAATCATAACATGCGAGATGTAACGTGGCGTCAATATGCTCTAGGAAACTGTTTGCGACACCAACGGCAATTCAAGGACAAACTAGTTATCAGAAGACGCAACTCCCTGCGGGTATCGGCCACCATCAGCCTTGAACTCGCAAATCTACCAGGCATGTTCAAGGCCATTAACCCTAAACCTCAAACCCTAAACCCCAAGGTGATCAGAGGTTGAGATTTGGAGGCCTGAGGCTTCTGTGGCCAAAGAATAACAACTCGCATGAGGCTGAGGCCCAATCTCAGTCTGATTACGAGTTAGCGGAACTAAATTATAGTTAGTAATAATACTTCTTGACTTTACTTATTATAAGTACCAGTCCGCCGAACCAACATTAGTATTATAATCAGTTCGTAATGTCATTATCTGGCGCTCTGACTGCCCATCAAAGGCGTCGAAGGATTGCGTCACACGAGCTGTTGGGTTAATACTGCTGCGCAGGAAAGCAGGTGCCGGAAGAAAGACCAAGCACCTGGAGTTAAATGGGAAGCACAGATTACACGATCAATGTATCAACGGCGACATCAGCAGCAAGTTTCATGCCTGTTTGTGCAGACCTATGGAACACATCGTGACCGAATCATCCAGGATGAAACAGCTAGTCTTACAGCTTCCGGATCAATTAAAAAGGGATGAGTGCGCAAGGGCTTCCGCGCGCCCGAGAGCTTAAACAGGCGATCCGGTCCGCATCCGTGTTCGTCATACCGTACAGTGACCAGATGAATCGAAGTCGGATGTTCCGAGCCATCGGTTGCAGGACCGGTCAGGAAACTGGTGGGGACGAGGGCTTTCTTGAATATCTTCGGAGCCTCCAAACACCCCCGGTCGCCCATTGAGCATAACCGCAAATCGCGTGTGGCAAGTGGGGTCCGCTGGAAAGTCTACCCGGGGCCTGTCGGCGTCGTTATGCAGCGAATGAACGCCAAGATATATCTGAGAGCCAACAACCTTCGATGACAACGAGTTCGAAATTCGAAGTTCCAAGTCCTAGCGACAGTCATGGTCATGTAAGGACCTGTAAGGCTGTAATGATAGAGATGGCAATGCTTCTGTACCAAGGCCAAAGTTTGCAATAGCATAGTGAGGCTAATGCCCAACATTACGGATGGGCTTGTAGCATCTTTACCCTGAGCCCGATTATGTACGCCACACATAGTGGTAAGTGAGCAGCCATGCTGGAGTTTGACAGAACAGGGGACCATGATCAAGATCCTACAAAGTAGAATCCTTCGTATGTGTCCCTGTCTAGCCTTGAACCCCGATGAAAGGCTCTTGCGAAGCTCTGACAAGGATACACCGCTTTGTCTCTAGAACTCGTTAGCATTACATCGAAGCTTGCGAACAAAAAGGGAACAGACTTGTACAACCCCTTCGAAGACCCTTAACCGAGGCCTGTATGGAAAATCCTCCGAAACCCCTTTGCAACTCTCCCCAAACAAAGGTAAACTATGCAAACTATGCAAACCCATATGAGGCATTGCATACAGCCTCATATAGCTATGCGCAACCTCAAGAAACAACCTATATACCAGCCCTTTGAACAAATGTTGCAACTCTACTAGCCCTAAACCCTAAGCCCCAAACATCCCCAAACCCGAAGCCCTTGAAAGAGATGTTTCAATCTACTATAGCCCTACACCCTAAAAGCCTGAAACCCTTCAACAAAATGTTGCATATCTACTGAAGCGCCAACGGCTCGGGGGCAGAGTTGGAAGCAGACTCCACTGCTCCTGCCACGGTTATGTCCTAGGTTTTTTGTTCAGGAACCGACCTCAAATAATCGCAACTTAGAGGATAGGGTTTCGGAACTTAAGACTTCAGTAACCAGAATAAAGGCGCCACACCATTTACTGTTGAGCGACTGTTGTAACTTAAATCAAGCCCGGTAGCACGTACCCAGTATCTGGGAAGGTGCTATGCATGCATGATTCTGTCTTATCAATGCTCTAGACATAGAATATGAGTGTTTCCATTACGAACTCAGATAATGATTGGCAATTAGATTTGTTCGTTCTCATATTGTTTTCATTATGAAAAAATGTATTATCATTACTACAGCTATAATAACTACTACGATTAATATACTATGCTTGCTGACATGATTAACAAACTCAGTCTCGTCTTGTGTTGAAATTCCTATTCCCCTGAACCCTGCAAACTCTACTTGAAGGATCAGAAGATTTAGTACACAGCTCCTACCCAATTAGGGGATGCATATTCCCAACAAGAGCCAACTTGCCTTCAAGTGATACATAGAACCCTGCATTACTACCAACGCTATAAATATGATTCCTGAAGGGTTCCTGTTGCATGGTACTTCCCCAAAAACCCCTTTCAAATTCATTAAGGCCCGTAGACTCTCAACCCCCACAATAAGCCCCTTCGATCCCCCCTTTTAAAACAGGAGCCCTATAGAGTCTCATGGCTAGGGCACTATAGGTTTCAACCCGTCTCCTGGGAGCTTAATCCAGGAGATGCTCCGCTCTTGCAAGCTGGACCAGCTCACGGAGGAAGTGGCAGTTCGTGAGGACGAGCCCTGCTGAGAAGAAACAAAAAATAATGATAATAATAGTAATATTAATAGTAATAGTAATAAGAAGAATAATAATAGGGGGTCCTTTTGTTGAGACTCACACTCGGGGCAAGCGAGGCAGGGTTTCGGGTTTTCGGGTTGGGGGTTTTCAACTATGAAGTTTGACAACGCCAGGTCTCCTGAGGAGTTAGAGTTCAACAAAGTTCAGGGACAGGGTTTAGAGCCTGGGTTCCAGGCTTTGTTTCTGCTTTTTTGGTGTCGGTCGTGGGGTAGAGCACTTCGTCTCGTAACTCGCACACGGCAGGCAAGGCCCCACGACAACTGGTCCAATTAGGTCTGTGGGGCTTCACAGCTGTGACCTGCTGAGTTCGCAGGTCGTGCGCACATGTCCACGGTCTACGGCATATTTCGCACGACATACACAAGCTTGAGGCTTGTGAGACTCCGCCTGGCTTTTAAGGGCAATATATTGCTTTAGATCTAGGACCTAGGCTCAGCTTAGATTGGACAGAGTCTTAACCGGGTCCAGGAACACCAACAAAAACCCAACATATCTGGCAACTCTTCGAGAACCCGGCCACGTCGTTCCACCAAGAGCTGGATTGCCTCGATCTGTGTCGGAGCCGTCAACATCAATCCAAAACTGCGGTTGATCATGAGAGGCCTAGGTACTAGAGCTAACTGGATGCGGACAAATTTTTATCGAAACAGCACCCGCAGCAGCAGCGGCGTTGAGTCAGCTCCGTACGCTTTCGGAGCTATTTCTGCTCCAGTCAACACCTATTCACAAACATTGGTGGCTGTCCGCAAGACTTGAAAAGCATCCTGTTTGTGGCTCTGTTTGTGGCTTCGGGGCCAAGTGGCATCCATCAGCTTCATCCGCTCAGCGTGAATCAGGTAAGCAGCACCTTGCACGGTTGCGGGTGCAATGCAGTTCAGTTCTGAACCCACTGTCAGCGGGCAAAAGCATGTCGGAGACTCTGAGGCACTGCATGCCTTCTTTACGAACAGCTTTGCCAGACAGCATTGGGTCAAGCAGATCGAAACCTAAAGCAGCTAGGCACAAACAAATGGACTGGTGCGGATCACCTGGGGTAGGTCAATGATTTAATAGAGACATCCATGGGTGCCTAAGTATGACGTCGCGAATGCTCGGCGAGGCAAATATGAAAGAATTCGGAAAAGTACGAAAACACGCGCGCGCACACACACAAGCACACATGCACACACGCACAAACGCACACACACACACACACTCACACACACTCACACTAACACACATGTGCATGAGTGTGTACGCACATGCAATGTGCATTGATATGTATACTACTACACCCCCAAAAATAAACCCAAAAACAGCCTCTGAAACCCCTGAGCATCGCTTGTGACATCCAAGGCACATAGGGCTGCGCTCCGGTTCTGGCCGGCCTTGCAGTGAACCACAGTCCTTCGCTTTTTGGCTTGATTAGGAGTTTATGGCTTATAGGGTTTAACTATATAGGGTTTAGGAGTTTAGGAGTTTATGGTTTAGGGTTTATAGGGTTTTTATGAGTTTAGGGACTAGTCTGTTGGCTTGGAAGAGGTTGGATCGTTTGTGTGTTCGGCATTCCGAGAGCGTGATTCCCTTCTTTGTCTAGGCGCCACATGCTTACGGGCCTGAGGGGCAGTGTGACAGTGTGCCATTACAGATGTAGACAAGTACTATAAGCGATAAACGATGCCCAGCAGTCCGACAGAAAGACGTTCACTTTCATACTTGTCTACGGACCGACTTCGTAAGCTTACCTTTTATACATGGAAAAAACGGGCTTTTGGTTGTGCTTTTGGTGTTAAGCTTGCGGTTTGGGTCTTTTTGCCAGCAGGGTGGAAGGCACGGTCAGTGAACCTGCCCGGGAGAGAATGGCGGACATTACCTACACGTTGCTAATGTGTCCCACCTCATCACATTATGAAAGATTGGAGGAAGACTCGCAAACCTGGAACTCTGATAGTACTTGAGGCCAGCGGCTTGACGCCATCTTCCTTGGCTTTCTGGATGAACCTTGGCACAGCTTGGAACATGCGCTGTGGATCAGGCTTGTTGTGGCGGATTGGCTGCCACGACGCCATCCAGTAACGTTTACTGCAACTTCAAGAGCACATTTGCCAGGCAACATCTCAAACTCACACAGGTGCTTCTCGAGCAAAGGGTACCAGTCATCCTTAGCGACGGTGTCTCGGCAGGCCGCAATATTACACTTCACTGTTTAAGGTGTTGCCTCCCTCGTTGCTTCCAGTGGCAGGTTTCGCGTTTAGGGTCTATAGCGTGACTACTGGCTGAGGAGAGTAGTCAAGTGAACCCTTAAGTCCTTGTAAACGGACACCCCAAGCCTCCATCCAACCGCTTTCCCAGTCGCATCGTCGGCATCAATGTGCAGAATCCGCATGTCCCCTGCAGGCACCTCCCCACGCGGTGTGTAGATACCTGGATTGTCTTTCGGTGCCAGATGATGGCTGCACGCAAAGCAGTAAACGTCAAACTGATGGGACGGCACAACCACTAGCAGCAACATCGGGACGATCTCCGCACTCCACGGTTGTTGCCAAGCAGCACACTGAAGACGCAACATTAGCGATGCCCCGGATTCCGAGCTCCTGCAAAACGTGGAGCCACAGCCACAGCTGCAGTCTAGACATTGACAAGCCGACAGGCCAGTACGACCACCCCGCATGCCGGCTTCTGAGCTCTCTGTCATCTGGGGTCCTGCATCTTCTTGCAATCCGTGACATCCTGCATACCACCCAGGTAGAGGCCCCAGTCCTCAAAGGACGAGCTTGGGGAGCTCCGGCACCCCGCACGGGGAGCAGCTGGGAACAAGCGAAGCGATGTTTAGGGCAACGCCATACCTCATGCCATGTATCTGTAGGTATGTAGGTAAGGTAAGGCAAGGCAGAGTAAGGTAAGGTAAGGTAAAGTGAAGGTGAGATAAGGCAAGGTAGGTAGGTATGTATCTGGCTGTCTATCTAGCTACCTGCCTATCTATCTAACTCCGTGAGTGTCTGTATAACCGGAAAATATACTATATACTATGGAAGGTACATAGATAGATAGATTGATAGATAGACAGATAGATAGATGGTTAGATAGATAGATGGACGGATAGATAGTAGAAGTATCATCCATACAGTCCCGAAACCATCTGAGCACTAAACGATGGGCCAGGACACACAAAGCTTTGCAGGCTGTTGTTCGGGGCGATGGTAGGCGTCCGCCTGCCGCAGCTGCGCATGGATCCGGTCCTTACCGGCAAGCCAGGAAGGCTCTGTTACGGTTTAATGTTGAGGGTCTCCGTTGGGAGCCAAAGGCACGTTTGGGCCAAGGGGTGTGGAGTCGTGGAGCCAATCCAGTCTCCCACTCCTCATCGGTTCATCCCAAGATATCCCAAGAATTCAAAGACAAGCTTGGCAGGCTTGGCAAATAACATCAACTGCATTGCCGAATCCTTTACCTGCCCCCACGTATGTCCGAGCAGAGCAGCAATGATGGGCTTGTCGAGGGCAGGGTCATACGGCATCTCGGCGGAAGGTTCCAGAAAAAAAATTCTGCTTCAGTCTCAACTCAACAGAATATCACGCTTCGTCCGAAGACTCTCGGGAGATACCTGCACCGATGACAAATCAGCATGTTGCACCTGCTGTCGGGGACCACAACCCATTATATCACATATTGTGGCACAGCTTTTGCTGCCCAGCCTGTTGCACACGCGCGTGGCAGGTCCCCATGGCTGCGCTGGCTACGCACAACTTTTCTTGCGTAAGCTTCAAGACAGCCTTGAGCCGATGTATTTCGGCGAGCCGTCCCGCTGCGACTCGAAGTCGGAAATATAGAAATAAAAATAAATATACATGTAAATAAACATAAATAAATATGCACATATATATATATATTATGAGAGTATCAATAACAACAATAATATTAAAATAATAACATAAGTATAATTGTTAATCTTATTATAATCATAGTAATAATAATAATGACATATACTAACATATATATATATACATACATATGTGTATATACAAGTGTGTGTATGTGTGTATGTATATATGTGTATGTATGTNNTGTATGTATGTATATATATAATATGTATATGTATATGTGTATATATATATATACATATATGTCTATACATATACATATGTCCATATATATATGTGTGTGTGTGTAGATATGTGTATGTATATATATATATGTACACACACTCATATGTATATATATATATAGGTATGTATATATATATATATGTATATATGTATATGTATATATATATACTGATATTTGTTTCTATGTGCGTATGTATGTATGTATGTATGTATGTATGTATCTATGTCTCCGAATAGGAAACCTGTATCCAAGCAGCCGAAACCCTGCTAGCCCGCAATGCCACTGGAAAGCTGCTCTCCGAAAATGTCATCTCGGTGTGCTTCAGCTGAAGCATCTGCAGCTAGCTGAGAAGACAACAAGACAGCTCCTTCTTGGTGTTTGCCACACTGTCGTAGCTCTTGTACGCCAGAGTGACCTCCATACATGGCAAGTTTGTCAAATTTGGTCGAGTAGTGATTCCGCACCATGACAAGATGGGATATACACAACAAAACTAGCTTGAGATCCTCAACAGCCTAGGTAGTCTGTGTGTTTGTATACTTAGGAGCAGGACTCTTCTGGCTATGGTTTCATCGGAATGTGTGGGCAACGAAGCCATGCTTACCCCAACACCCATGAACTACACCGAAGCAGGTGTGCTCCAAATTCATATAGTATATAGGTGCATATATGTATATGTATATGTAAAGATATATTGCAAGGTATCATCATCATCTTCTTCTTCATTTCCACAGCCAATTGCAGTCCCAGCTCCTCGACTCGACTTCAGCAAACCAAACAACCCATATAATAAGGCCTGCCTGACAGGGTCCCAGTAGTGTATATATAATACATACATGTTGAAGCTGTGTATATATACTATACTATACTATATTATGATCTTTTGGGTTCTTCAAAACATAGGGGGCGTACCATTTTGTTGGCCATGGCAAAGGGCTCCTCAGCCGCCATCTTCTTCCCCTCGATGGTCACTTCCTGGCGTCTCTACGGAGACGCCTCCACACTTGTGTTCGGCCACCGGTCGACACATATTCCCACAATATAAGTAAACGAACCAACGCATGTTTGTATAGATATGTATATGTATGATAATAATACTAATGATTATTATTATATTATTATATATTTACATATGTATGTATATATATATATATAAATATACAAGCACATACATTATATGATGGGTGTTGCCGAACAAAGGTGCTCCTTGAGCCTCGGTGCGTAGTGCGTCTCTGAGTGGAGGCCCCAATCAGAAGCACCACCTGCGTAAACGATCAATCGGGGTCAGCATGACTTGGCCGAATGCATGCCAAAACTTTCCTAAACCCTTTTTGTTTTTGCAACTGGACTAACCAGATCCTTGCATCACGGCCTTCCCCAAACTCCCAAACCCCGATGCTTCGGGGAACTCTTGATGCCATATAACCAGTCCAGCGAAGTAGGCGCTGCGCAAGTCTTTTTGACATGATTCAACATCTGGTCTGAGGCATGAACAGCTTCGTGAGGTTGTGCGACCCCCGAGTCTGAAGCCTTATGCCTCTTTCGTTTCGTATGTTTCAATTGCTGCAGATTCCGAACTCCTGAATAAAAATGGCAATAACGAAACGTCTCGGCCCGCGGGGTTTCCTGGACTGGGGTTGGCTATCCTGGGGGGCAGGAAGCCAGAGGGCGGCACTAAGGCGGTCCCTGCAGTCCCTCCATGGGGCGACAGTGCTATTTCTGCTCTTTCATTCGTGTTGCCGTTGTGGCCGTAAGTGCTTCCTGCAGTTTGGGTTGCTCTATGTTGGGTGCTTTCGTTCCCCTTGCGTGGCCGCTCTCCTACATGAGCTTGTTGTCCCCGACGTCTGGCTGACAGACATCCTACTAGCCTATAAGTTGCTCTGCTATGGCTGTCCTCCTCCCCTGGCTGCATGGCGGCGGCATGTGCTTTGATGTGCTGTTGGCCAGTCATGCTGCCTTCCTCCCATTGTCCTCGGCATGGCCTTTTTTCAGGGCTCCCGGCGCGGCGGCATGGGCGGTAAAACCTGTTGTTTTCATGTATACGCTGATTCGGGGCACATCGTTGACACTTTCGGCGGTTTCTGGTGTGACATCTGGGTGCCTGCTGTCCTTCGCCTGCCTTTTGTGTCCTCCTGGCCGGTGTTGCAGGCTCCTTCGCGCGCTGGCGGCCGCCTTCGACGGCGCCCGTGCTGCTGCTGGCGGTGACGATAGATAATTAAGCATGCGACAGCGTTTCTGGCTTCGTGCCAGTTCTCCTAAGCTCCTGCTCCTTCAGTCGCGCTTGCGGCCGGGCGGCGGCTTTTCTGGCCACGTGCCAGCCGCCTTCTGCAGGCGGCGGGTTTTCTGGCTATAAATGCCCGCCGCCTTCTGTCGAGCCCTTTCTCACTCCGTCTCCCTCTCCCTCTCCTTCTAATCCCTTCCCCCTATTATTAAA